TCCAGGAACTTTGGGTGTGCAAAAGTGTCTCTTTGTTATAATGACTGGCTTTACATATTGAATAGAAAACAGAAGAGGGAATTGATTTAATATGAGGAACAATACACTGTATTATACGCTTACATACTGTAGAGAAACTTACAGTTGTAGTTGCAACAAACAAGACAAAATAATAAATAAATCAGTTCTATGTAAATGTAATTTCTCATTGTAATAAATACTGGATATGCGGGAACATTTGTTTTCAAGAAAATTAGAGACAAAATATATTTCTCCAGAGGATAAAAAAAGCTTTGGTGATAGTAAAAAAATCTAGAGAAGAAACAAAGCCTCTCAAATAATCTCTACTTTCTGGGATTACTTGGTACAGCAAACTGTGGTATTATGGGGTTAAAAAATCACTTCACCTGAGTTAAATAATTTCTAAAATCAAAACTGAACTCGTTTAGCCATCAAAGCCAAGCTCCATTTCTGCTTAGCTCAAAACTGAACCCGTTCAAACTGTTCAAACTCTGCAGGAACACTGCGTTATACAATCAGGGTCAGAGTTTAAAAAAAAAAAAAAAAAATTCCATGTAAAGGTAGAATGTCAGTAGCTAAGACACTGGTGATGCAAGGAAAAATAGGCTTATGCACGAGTTCTATCAAATAAAAATGAAAATCCACAACTGTTCTCGCTGCACGTGGCTTCCACACCTGTTTCTTCAGAAGGGAATTTTAAAGTTTTTTAAAACATAAATTTTGCTCAAATGCACAAAAATTGACATAAATTTGTAAATATAAACAACAAACCAATCTTTAAACCTTGCACAGAATTATCTGTAAGACCCATAATTTCAGTAAGTAAATGTAACTCTGCTTTGTAACTGAAACTATATTAAAAATAAGTTAATATAAAGCAAGCATGAATGATTTAATCTATTTTATCTTACCCCTTTCTAAAAGGTCCACTCTGATGTTTCTTTACCCTTCTGAAATGCTTCCTCATATGTAACCTTCAAAGCTGTCTGACTCTAGAACTGTGGAACCACCAAAGAGCCAGTGAACAACAACCGGGTAAATATGATAAAGAGTATTCGAGGAAGGGAGAAACATCAATTTCAGATTTAAAACAAATGCAACCATAAAGGTTTTCTAATCAAGTGCGATAACTTGAGGCACGCATTCAGTCTTTCAACGGGGAATATATTATGTCCTGAACTCTATTATACTGTCTTCCGAGGCCAGCCTCTCTGGTTGGTAATGTTTGGTTTTGATTTATTATTATACCAAAAGAACTTAGAACTTTTAAAAGTCTGTATTACTTTAGTTTTGTTTGGGATTTTTGTTTGTTTGTTTGTTTAATTTACTGATGTATATCCCTTCCTGTAGCTTATCCTAGCATAACTTGATCATGGGGGTTCTTTTTTTGTCATTAGAATAAAGTCTGTCCCTCTAAAATTCTTACTCATTTCCACAAAAATGTCTGTATCTCCTCCCTGAGACCTCCCTCCCCACACCCTGCATAACATCTGATATATTCTACTCCTTTAAACACATTCTTCCAAAGTCACACTGCTGAATCTTCAAGAGATTAAATCTTCAGTACCTGTGTGAAGCAAGGTAGGGACTTTTCTAAATTGCAGGGTCAGTCTGACTGAGGGAGTGTATATAACATCTGAGTGCAGTCTCTGTTTTATTTCAAAGGACCAGAAATAGAAGTTTCAAAAAGGTAAGTGGTTATATGGAATTCTTTTAGAGTTCCTACAATTTATTTCTAAATCCCTAGATTCTCTCACTAAAATCTCTCCTTTGTAATCCCTAAGGATGCAGTAAAATAAACACAGTAATTCAGCTGTCAGTGACTGGTCTCACACTTGCATTGGAGGGAAAGTCTCTTGTACGCTACCTGCACTCATGCCTGTCAGGCAAAGCCGCTATGGGAATGCCTACAACAGAGAGTCCTAAACCACATCCAAATGAGCTGATATACAGAATAATTTAATGCCTTACCTTTATACTAGTTGAAATCCCAGAAATAATACAGCCATCTGTGACAGCTACAGAGGGCAAGTTCAGATGGGCCTGTATAAGACAGCAGGACTGAAAAGCCACTGCAGAGCTGCCCTGTGCCTCCATTGGAAATGGACATGTAGCAGGTACCTGTTGCCTGAAAAGTGCCATGCTTGGAAGAACGGAAATATCAGAAGCACAGCACCAGGCAGACGGAACAGGATCTCACAGCAAAGGATTTAGGGATAGGATGCCATACCAGGAGTTCAAGCACATGTTTAGACTCTTATTTCCATTAAGAAAAGAGGGACCCAGATCAGATCATTCCTTGCAGCCTCCATATTCATCATCTGCCATTTCATCAAAACCTATTAGGTAAGGAATGACCACATCTGAAGGGAAGGCATGATCTCCGATAAAAATAAGGCATGACAGTTGAATTTGGAAGTGAGTGACCCAAAGCCTCTCTAGTGCTCTGCTCATACGCAGTAACGTTTTTCGACTCTAGAAAAAAATCTATTAATGCATAGGATCTGAATGCGACAGAACGAGGAAGGTATGAGAATATTAGTGTTAGGTCCACTGAGATAAGAAGGCTCTGTCCACGGAAGATTAAAAGAAAATCAAAAGGTGAAAGAACCACATCACTTCATAACATCTCCTGAGCAGGAACCCAGCAGAGTTGATACTGATCATGTGACACTGCAGCACGAGAGAAAGGAGATATCAGGATCTAAATGACTATGTATGCAAGCAAAGTCTTTCCAGCTTTTGTAGCCAATTACACATTTCAGAATCATTTTTACTGACATCATGTCTGTGTGACAATATAAAAATAATTTATAATATATCTTATTTATCAGCTTTTATTCCCACAGCATTTAGAAACAACAATCAAGTGTAACAGTTACTATACCCCTTTGGCTAGATTTAGTGAGTAGAAATACTAAAAATGCTTCCAGAGAACCTTTTCGAAAATATCAGCTGAAGTATAATTGCAATAAAGTATAGAAGAAAGCCAGCTGTTATACTCTACTTATGCTATTTAGTTCTTCCATATGTAAAACAGACAATACAACTCATTAATCAGAATAATATTTTTTTAAAAAATGTTGTTACAGTAACAGATAAAGGAATGCACAGTGTATTAGTTATCAATGCTTTATTATTGAAAACAAAATTGAAATTCTCTTATCTGGCACATAAACAATTATTTCTACAAAAAGGAAAGCCTACAAATCTGATAATTTATACAAATAACAGTTTTTCAAAAAATAAAATTTTAATTTAGTAAACTTGTCTTGTGCTCTTTTTTTTAGCACTGTCTGCAATAATCCACCATAAATCCCTGAGCAGAGAGTCTATTTTAAACATGTTTTAAATTTATTCCAAAAGATGAAAGTTATCAAGCCCAGACCTATATTAAAAAAATGTATTCAGGGACATTCTTGTTAAATTTACGCTAGTCCTTTTTTTTTCCTTTCCTTTTTTTTTTTTTTTTTTTTAAAAAAAAAAAAAAAATGCATCACAGGGTGCTCCCCCTTTCCCCCTTTTGTGCAATGAATAAAAATTACTAAGCAAGAATGAATACAAGTTGAAGGAGACAAATAACATAGTAAATGGTTAAAACCAAGAAGCCATCAAATTTTGATGACTGTTGAGCAAATAAAGCTGCAGGATACCACAGTTTTATGCTGAGTTCAGTTACAGTTACTATCTAATTTATTTCTATACTTTTTTTTCTAGAAAGTCAGTAAAGCAGGAGACTAAGTTCAAGCTACCATTGTATTTTAACACTGGTTTCAATGATGACGTAGAAATTCAACTTTTGAGCCTTCAATTTTGCTTTTCCAGCCATAAAATTATTTGAGAAAAACTTGACACACTCCACAAAACCAAACAATCTTGCCCCTCTGGCCCTTCTAGTAGGCCAGTTGTAAACTTAGCAACTTAAGGTATTTTAGTGAGCAAGAGGAAAGAAAAGGAAACACACACTACTACAATTTTTTACTATACTGACTTTGAAACATCTATTCCCCAATCTATTTCAATACAGATTTAAAATCCAAATGTAAGGGGAGAATGACCAACAAGGTAGAGTGTAACTCACGGGTCCTCTTTCCCATTAGGTACACACACTAACCACAAAAAAAAAAAAAAAGCAAGGAAAATGAAATAAAAGAAACAGCAACACTTACAGACTGTTGTGTTAATGGCAGGTAACATTGCTGCAGTCAAGTAATAAATAAATAAATACAGCAAAGTATTCTGCTCTATAGTTTTGTTGGAATGGTGCTCAACAGTTAAAAAGCAAATTAAACCCCAAACCCTTTCTCAGTAAATAAAGAGCTTTTAACAGAAGAACCTGAAGAAGCTTCAGTTCAAGGTGCTCTACCACTTTAACATTGTATCTACCATTATGAAAAGAACACTGAAGCAGATAGCAACAGGTAATTAAATGAAATAGTAAATCCTCTTACAAGCAATAATACTTATTTCAAAGAAAGAAAGCAGTTAACAAATGGCCTGGAAAAAAATTACTAAAGCTTCAATACACTGTAATTTTAAATAAATTATTTTTACATTTAAAAACTGAAGACTGAAACAGCAACTAGGCCAAATCATTCTGAAACAGAAATAAACTGAACCTCACCAAAAGCATATTTAGATATTTGACAGCTCTGCTGCTAGCACAAGTTGGAATACAAACAGAATGCTAATATTTGGTTAGAAACTGAATAGGTAATATTTTTTAAAACACCACCACTGTGAAAAGTAACTGGCAACCACCTTTACAGATTTCTCTTGATCTACACTGTTTTAAGCAAGACCTAATCCAGTCCCTTCAGTTGTTTGCTATCCTCACCAATGTATAACATTCCCTTTTCTCAAAGTTGTTCATGAAATCTCATTTGTAGCATATCCAAGCACTAATATTTTCAAATTTCACTTGGCTGAGTTACTGCAGAACTACTGTATGCAGAGTCCAGTTTAAAGCTCGTCTTATCTGACAGCAATGTAAAAAGAATCAAACACATTTTTCTAAAATATCTTTCTTTTTTTATCCTTAAGATGACAGTTTGACCACACTCATCTGATATCAGGGCAAAGCATCAGTCTTGTTTCTGTTACTAAATCACACCTCTGGATTTTTTTTTTTTACCACTCTACATACACATCTGATGTAGTATGTACTATGTACTGATGTAGAGTATGAGCAGTTCCTTGCTCATTCTGTCTAGCCCACAGCCATTTGGCTGTGTATTTCAAGAAAACTGCATTAAAACTTAACAAGCAGAAATAATATGCATCTTCTCGGCAAACATTTTGAATGATGTCATCTAATCACAAGTGACAGATTTGAAAAAAATTGACCATATAAGCTGTGAAATTGGTAAGCAAGTGGTCCTAAAGTGAGATACAGCAGCATTAAGACAAACTGCAAACACACTGGATTTAGTATACATTTTAATGAGTTACAGTATCAGCAAATACTTTAACCTACTATTACCACTTTTACTCCCATATGGCTTAGTGTATACTGTACAATTTTCTCTTAGTATTTTAATGACAGTATACATTTCAAGTACCCACCCAAAAGTGAGTGATATGGGATTTGAAATGATTTATCAAATAAGCCAAAACACCTTCTCTCAAGTGCTATCGTTCTAAATATTTTTGTGGGGTAACAAGTCCTTCAAGAGTATCTCAAAGTCTCCCTTTTTCTATTTATCTAGCAAAAAGATTTATGCCAAAAAAGCAGGATAGCTTCTTCTAGCAGCAATTAAGACCTCTGATCCTTGCAGTCAAGTCCAATGAGCTCTCCAACCAGACAACTGTGTGGAAGTTCTAGTTTGTGGGTTTAATCAATTTAAGAAATAAAAGTTCAGAGTTTTCATCATCATGTGTTGGATGTCTTCAGACCTTGTTTCTCCATGATATTCCACAATTTGCGAAGATTGGACTGAGTGATGACATCATCAGGTTTAAGTTGAAGAGCAAGGAGGTAGTTTTCTTCAGCCTCTTTCAGTTTACCATTCAGATGGAGAATGGCTCCAAGATTCATCAGGGCAGCTGGATACTGATACAACAACAACAACAAAAAAACGGGAAGAAGAAATATTAGGCATATTTTCAAGTTTTCTTTTCAGACAATCTTCTTCCACTTAAATTATTCCCTTATGTTTGCAGACTTTTCATGGAAGCAATTTAGCAATTTAAGCAAATAGAGATAACAAGAAAAATTTTCTGAACAGCTGCTGTATACTTTGTGCTTTAAACGGGGCAAGCTTTGGTGTCTACAGACACAGACTTCTCTCTTTAATGAGAAAACACAGAACTCATAAAGCCTTACATGTGGTAATGCCGGCATAGCACAGCTTCCAAGAGAAAACTGAAATAATCAAAGAGTGGATTAAAGACAGGAATTTAATTTTAATTCAACCCATTGCCAATAAAGAGTTTATAATCATTGGGAATAGTTAACACATTGGAACTCATCCCTTTTTTTCTCTCTGTCTTAATTATAACTAGTAGAAAATACAATCTGTTCTCAGATTCTAAGGATGTTCAGGGGTCCTAGGATATCCATTTAGAATCAGGCTGTGGAAACACATGCTATTTTAATAACAAGGATGTGAAAATTTCATAACAAATCCATTAAAATGCTTCTTATGTTGCTAACAATTTTTCCATCTTTAGCTAAGACAAAATGCTTCTTGTTTTTATTTTTTCATCTTTAGATTATTCCATTACGAAATAATAGGTTGTTCATGATAATTAAACATACCTAGTTACTGGAGTTAACAAATAGTACTAGGGCAGAAAAGCTGATTTATGAAGCTGAACAGTCTAACCTACCTTTTTTTTTTGCAAATATCTAAGCTATTCGCATGATAGTGAGAGCACAGTAAAGGCATTTGCCAAACCAGTACCTTGCATTTAAAAAAAAAAAAGGGGGGGGGAAATACTACACAAAGTTCACTATGGTTCTCTCTCTCAAGTCACTCTCATTTCCAGTAAGCTTCAGAAACACTTTCAAAGTCACATAGTTTTGCCTCAGAGGATAAGTGTTTCAAGACACCACTCACCAGTGTTCTGATCAAAATGAAATACTCAGAATGTGAAGACACATGGAAACTCAGCTTCAGTCTATGGTGTGGGGGTGTTGGTATGCTTTAGAAGCCCTTCAGTGACAATAACTTCAGGAAAATATGGTAGGTGGAAAGCCAATAAAATATACACTAGAGTTGGTCTCCCAGACTGATGTGGTAATAGAAAGTCATTAGGATGAGGAAGACTTAGGTTCCAAACCTCTCCACTAACAAGTTAAAGTCATTACACTCTTATCCTTCTGAATCAAGCTTCAAAAAAAAAAACCCACCCCATAATTCTTGTGTCCAAAACTTAAATTTTGTGGTGGAAATGTTCAGAACATTCTTTAGTTTCATATCCTACAGATATTTCATACTTCTTCAACTTTCTTCCTGCTTCTTTTAACCTATTAACACATGCATCACAAAACCTCACAAACATCAAATTTTCAGAGCAACTGGCTTCCAGAGTTTCAAAATTAAGCAAAGCAAAACAATATGAGTTCAACCCTCCCTATTGTAAACATCATAATGCTAATACAGTGGAATCTGAAGATGCTATTCTTAGATTTAATTTTTCTTGCTCTAACCTGACAGATTATTTCTACCACCCCTAAACAAATTTCTTTGTTCTACTAATAATCAAAACAAACAAACAAAAAAAACCCACTCCAAATGGATTTTATAAAGTTTTCCCAGTTAAATATCATCCAAAATTTCCTCTGAAGTCATATCCTGTACAGAGAAGGCAAATTAAGTCCCTGAAATGTAATCTTTGCTATGGACAACACATATCAGCAACCACATCATCATAGCTCCACCTTGGCAGTGCCAACCTTTCATACTAGTTTATAATGGAATAATACACTCCTTAATTACAGATGTTCTGGGTGATAACTGAAGCAATGTAAGTGAAGAATGATCAGAAAACAGCTCCACTGTGTATGGATGGCTATCTAAATATCCACATATTTTATTTATTAATTTATTTTTAGACAAGACTGTTTCAGAGAATTCTTTCAAACCGTGAGAAGGATGGTTTATTCTGACTAATTGCGGTCTTCATTTGTCTATTGAGAGTTTATGAATCAAACAGCTTTTTTCAAGAGCAGTTATTGACACAGAACTGTATTCTCACTTGGAATATAACTATGTGCATATGTTTGCATCTAGAAAATGGATAAGGATTAAAAAACCTTAAACCTCGTATTAAATAAGACACACGTTAAAATGTGCTTAGGGCTAATTCTACAGCATCCACAAACTTACTGTGTGAGAATTAACAGAGTTGTCTCATATGGTTTCCAGAATTATTCTTCATTTTCTTCATACCCCCCTGAAAATATGTTATGTGTATGGTACTAATCAAGTACTCTAAAGAACATCATATATGTAAGACTATATGCCTAGCTAAGAAAATACTTGTGCCATGCCTTTAATTTGAAATATCATTTCACTACAGTGAGCAACAAAAACATCTAGAAAAAGAACAAACAACATGCCTTTTAACTGAACCTGAAATTTTCTAATTTTTACACATAATTCCTGATTTCCTGGAGACCCAACAAATTTTAGACTACCAACACTCTAAACAAATGTATCCATGGAAAATGTTAACTAATAACTCATTTCAAGTAGTGCTGAAAGTTCATTCCAACTCCTTCATATTTCAAATGAGGAAGTGCATAGGATTTCAGAAAGACTGCTCCCTAACTTTCTAGGGTACCAGCCACCCCAATATCTATGGTTTATTGTAAGAGTCACAGGAATTTTGAGTCACTTCAAGATTATATAACAGTGCCATCACTCTCTGACAAATATAAATGATGGTTTGAGGACAAGAGATCAACAACCATTTGCTACAGTTTTTCTTCACATATATTGTCTTTTATTAAAGACAGCTGATAAAACTTTTCAGTATGTTAACAAAGGCAGTCAGCAGCTACCAGTGCAATAACATGGGACTTGTACCACTGTATAACAAATGACACCGCCTACTACTTCAGAGACTTGAAAGGAGAAACAGGCCTGCCTTCATTTCCTTTTGAAGACAGATGCTTTACATCAAAAAAAGCTGACTTGCATTTCTATCGGGGTTATAAATGATGTCTTTCAGGGTCTATTGAGAACAATTCTCTTTATTAGCATTTTTATCGTGGTGAGCTTGTTTCCTTAGTGGGTTTTTTGGGGAGGGGAGGTGCTCGTGAGGAGGAGGGGAGAGGAATAACAGAGTAATTAATGAATAACAAAATAGCAAAAGCCATGTATTTAGTTGCCTGAGGTGTTTTTGGTTTACATTGATGATAATTCTTTCAAACTTTCTGTATACTACCAAAATAAAAAGAGAACCTTGAGGCATGCAAAAATTTTAATGTAAATTAAAGTCCTCCAAAATTAAGAGAACTATAGCATTTCAGTATTACACTAATGTAACGAGTATTGGACCTACAAATAGAACAAATCTTAATGACACAGAAGATGAACTGATTAATCATCTCTGGCTCCGCATATAGCAAATGCCATATCAGAAGAACAGTCCCAAACAGAAGAAGCCAAGTTTACTCCTATATATGCCTAAGAAGTTATGGAGAGAGAAACAAATACACAAACACTTAGACTAGCTCCAAAACACCTCTTGCATGGCACAAGTATGAACAAAGAATGGCCCAAACATAACTAATGAAATCTGAAATGGTTTTCCTCAAAGCTCTGCTTACAGATGACCTACTCTGCTCAACACCACAGAGGACAGGGAAGAAGATTCTGAGATGAAAGCACATTTTGTTGCTTCTAGGGTACTTATAAGGAATAAGAATATAAGAATCACAAGTGCAAGCTACTTCACACATTTTAAAAGGTCACTGAAAAGATGTTGCCAGTGTTCATCTTGCTCTTAATGAATTACTACAGTGTGTGACCTTGTAGATGTTTCAAAACAACCCCAGGACTGTTTAATGAATACTGTAATCAGCATGGCCAACCCACCAGAAACACAGAGGCTAAGTGTTTTGTTTTAATACACTGCAATTAAAGACACTTGTTTTATGGGTTCCTGTTGAGTAAAGTCCATACTTAAAGAAGGACACAAAATGTCATTCACATGTGAATATTTCATCCCAGCACTTCTAGTTAAATATGGGTGAAGAATTCAGATCTTTCTCTGATAACGGAAGGTATATAGAGATACAATGACTGAGTAGTGAAGCAGCAGAGTATTAGTTGTAGAATGGCTCACTAAGCGCAAAAGCAAAGCTTATCAGTGACCATGGGATAATATGCTGTCACGCCTTTATCCTCCTACCGGGATGGCAAGAATTTTCACTTGAAATTTTAATACTGGTGTTATTGCTGCATCACAGCATAGTATCTTCTGCAGTAATCAAAATGGCAACAGCTCTTTTTTTATTGCTAAAGATAACTGTGGACAACAGAATCATTTCAGGAGTGGCGCTTGTTTTTGACAGACCTCACAACTTTTAAGTAAAACCATGACCTAGGAGTTGCCCCAAGATGTAAGCATACTACTTTAAAGCGGGGGGGGGGGGGGGGGGGGGG